TGTATTTATCTTCCTGTCTCCACCTTTTTTTCCTGTTTCCACCTTTTTTTCTGTTTTTACTTTGTCACCTACTAGTCTGAGGACCTTGTTGCATGGTAAATTTAGGCGGTTTCTGCAGCTCTTAATCCCTAGATTGGCTGCATATTAACACCTTTAAGTGGTTTAAAGCACTTGTTATTTGGTTTAAAGTTATGCTGCTCCAAAACAGGATTATTTCTAACCCACCTAATTTTGCTGCTGTTCCATTAAGGTGTGGCCACACTCCCTGCAGCCATTGTACCCAAGCTGAAGTCCTCCAACATTTCAGGATGCAGTGGCCCCTCCTCAGTCAGGGCGAGCAGGGTCACTGGGGCTCAGCTGGACCAGGCATGGTGCCTCACCCCCTAGGGATGTTGGGCAGTGTGAGTGCGACAGCCCCAGAGCACCTAGCAGCTGCAGTGCCTCTCACCACTGCCTGGCCTGCCTGGCTTTTCCTGCCAGTGGCAGTACAGGGGGGAGGGGGAGCTCTGGAGGAAAAAAACGATCAGGCCCCTCAGAGATCAGGTGGTGCCCAGCCAGCCAGCACCTCGCCCCCCAGCCCCCATACCACTGTCAGCCGGACTGCCAGCCAGCTGGGTGCTTTCTGAGCTCCAAGGGGCCTGACTTTTCCTATGGAGATCGCTCCCCCGTGCCACCATTGGCTGGGCTGCTGGCTGGCTGGGTACCACCTGAGCTCTGAAGGGCCCAATCGTTTTTGGAGCCCAGGTGGTGCATGGCTGGCCAGCCAGCAGCCAGGGCAGGGGTGGTACAGGTGGTGGGTTCCAGAGAAAGAAGCGTTGGGCCCTCAGAGATCAGGCAGCGAGTTGGTTCAGGTAGAGGCAGGAATCTGCCAGGTGGTCCGGTGCTCACTGCCTGGCAGGAGCAGCAAGCTGGTCCTGCCCCTAGCTTCTAATTCTGCCCCTGCTCACCAATCTTCTAGTGGCAAGTCACAGCTGTGCAGGTGAGGGATAGTCAGAGATGGTTTTTCACTGCAAGGTACAAATGCTTCACTCAGCTGAACAATATTAAGTTGATTAACATTTGTTCAGCTTACAGTGTAAGGTGTAACAAGGTCCTGATTTTCTGTCCTCATTCCTTAATTTTTTCCCATCTTGTTCTGTTCCCATTTGACTCCTTATCCTCTCTGCCTCTCCTCTCCCCTTCTGCATATACGCATCTGGTCTTCCCCACATCCATTAGTACCTATCTGTTTCACAGTGGCCTCTAACTGATACTGCTCCTAGCTCTGTTTAATACTTCTGTTTCTGGTAGAAGAGTGTGTAGCACTGATGGGCACTGCAGGACCTAACCAGTAACATAGGAACAGCATTTGGCAGATTTGAAAGGACAGAGGCAATGAAAGTTGACTAGAAATCTGTACTATGAGAAGACATGTTTTTCTTACTCGCATTGTTCATCTAAATGCGTGATCCACTTAGCTTATGAACAAAGATTAGAAATTGCATGTGCAGATGTTTGGCCCATCCATCATTTGCAATTTTATGTGCAGTGACTGACTAAATCACCTGGAAATATGTTTTGAATTTTTACTTAGGAAAATGCTTTTAAAAAAAATTATGTTCCATTTAAAAAAAATAGTAAACACAAATATTTGTTTACATGACACATTACAGCGGACACTGGAATCTGCATAGCAGAAACTGAATTGGGCAGCCTACTTGTTGCATCATTTAGGCCCATAGATACTATAATCTTATAATTAAGATTCAGGTCATCAAAGTAATTTTTATGGTATAAAATTAAAAGCCCCTTTTATTTGGCCGAGACATTTTCATTTCAAAGAGTGGCATACACCTTACACAACTGTATTCAATGTAAACATGAAACCGGAGTCAAAATACTCTTGCCATTAAACATTTTTACACATAGTATCTAAATTCTAGATTATTTTTAAGGTGCAAGCAAACCACAGAACATTTTAAATAGTAAGTCAATTCATGTAATTTACTTTAAGTTTTAAGAGGAAAAAATGCATGTTTTTTTGTAGCGGAGAATGATTGTGCCCAACTTCATTTTGAAAATTAAATTAAATCAAATATGACTCACTTTAATCTTGAAAGGTCCATTTGAAAGACAAGACGCAAGAAGGTAACTGAAGTATATAGTTACCTCTGAAATACAACAATGCACACACTTCACAATTTTAAGATACTTTTAAATTAAACCTTTGATATTGTTGCACAAACGGCTAGTTTCGTGCCCCTGGAGGCTTGTCCAATCCACCTCTAGGAGAGAGTCACACACACAGCCTGGGTCCAATTTCAGATTTATTGTTTGCAAACAAGTTCGACAAGGGAGCTTAATGCTCAAATCCGTGTTGACCCCAAACAGAGTCTGGGGTTCCTTTTTATAGCTAACATAAACAAAAGATTCTAACGTGTCGCGTAATTATTGGCAGCCCAAGTATTACGTCTTACAACATATGTCTAGCAGGTACATGTTCTATGATGGTTTACATACATGTCTCATTTACATCTTAAATCTCCTCCCTGGGGCCGTCTTTAAGCCCATCTCGGTCATTCTTCGGTCAGGGTTTGAGTTCTTTACATCCGCATCTTTCCCTGTGCCTCTTCTCTTATCTCTCGTAAGGAGTTATTTATTGCATCTGTTCTTGGCTATGTCTGTAGAAGTCTAGTGCTACTCGTAACTCTATCATTGGCCTATATGCCTTAGCAGAAGCAGTTATGCAGTGAAGCCAAACAGTTCTCAGCTGTGAAGCCTTTGTGTAGTAAGATGAGACATTTTTATCACGCAGCTGCTATACAAACGTTATTGCAAAATCATAATGACTAGATTATAACATATTTTTACCACAATATCTTCTTTGTTTACAGTTGGAATCTATAAAAATATATGCAGGCAGAGTAGATGTGATATCTTTTATTAGACCAACTCAATAGTTGGAAAAAAGTTCTTTGCAAGCTTTCAGGTACAAACACCATTTGTCAGGTATAGGGATAAAAGATACCACATCTACCCAAAGAACCTTGCCTGCCTGTGTCTTTAGAATAACACAGCTACAACCAACAACCCTGCAACATAAAATATATGTGCATTATTAATAAAACCCATGACAGATGCACTCTCTATGTTGGCCTATATATCTTAATCCATTAAGACTAAGGAGGATTAAAGAGAAAAGAACTAACAACTACATTAATTTAATATTTTCTTATTGTTCCTTCTTTCTGTATGTAAAGAAAAATGCCCACAAGTACTTAATCATTTGAAAATACACATTTTACTGCAGCCCCTTGTTTTACCTACTAAATAATCAAAGGTGCAAATCATCTTTACTGGAACAGTTTCCCAGGGGTTGGCTCAACTGTAGTGTTTCATCTTACTGTAGTTTTTCATTCTATAGCCAAACCTTAATTTTAATGTGCAATAGCTGTATCAGCACTCCTGCCTATTTGAAAATTAGAAAAAACTCTGTGGTTCCTATTGTATCAGATAGGAGTGTGTAATAATTGGTCTCTAATTTAGTTGCCTGTTCTCAAACAAGCAAACTACAGCATTGTATAACAGGAAGCATTCATGGAGTAATTATTTGGAGTATTGGAGCCACACTTTATGGTGGCAGTCTCAATAAACTGAAAGTGAGGGAATGGAGGATATTTTTTTAAGGCAGTGATTTGATCATTTCATCATAGTCTGAAAATATTCTCCCTGGCCAAGCTTAAATTTTAGAAAGCATGGCAGTGACATAGAAGAAATAAGGTCATATATGTGCCCGCAACTTAGAAACAACTAACAGGCAAAAGGATGTTCTAGTCTAGTTATGGAATACGTGCAACTTCCCTGTGGATGTAAAGCTGATCACTGTGCAAGATCTATTCAAATGGTGGGCTGATAATGGTATCACCTTTTGAAACAACAGAACTGCATAGGGATAAGCTTGGCCGAGTTCTGCTTTTGTGTAAAAATGAAACATTTACAGCTAAAACATCAAAGCTGAGAGCAGCATTGCATGCAGGCATGAGAGCACAGGAGAGTCACCAAAAATTAAATGAGGGTATGAACAAACATAAGGAAGCTCCGGCTCAGGTTTGGCAGCTTACTTTAAGCCACCTAAACCCGAGTCAGGTTCTGCTGCATGCAGACATTCTCATGGGCAATCAGAGGAAAGTAAGGCTGGAGAGGGGAGTGGTCCCAGGAGGGAGGAGGTGGAGGGAAGGTTCCCAGCCCTGGGGTTGTGCTGGGGACCTGTGCAAGCATTCAGTAGTTTGGGTTAATCCATGTTAGCTAAGGTTAATATGGTGCTTATCTAAAGTTAGTTCTTTTAAGATGACCTAAAACATGCGAGTGCTTGCTTGCAAGCCCAGCCATTTAGATCACCCTAAGCATGGTTAGGGTGATGTAAATGTACTGTTTGTATGCACCATTTCTTGGAGCTATTCAGAGGTATTAGCTGCCTTGCTTGTTTTAGCAGGGGACTAGTCAATACCAGTGTTTCAGTTCTGTCAGGGGTTGAAAGGAAGTAATGTCTTGTTTGTCCTGGGCAGACATGCGCTCCTTAATCACTTACCTTATAACTGATGAGCCCTAAAGAAAGCCTGGCCCTGCTTCTCTATCTGATGAGGAGGAAAAGCATTTGCATCTTAATAGGAGAGAAAATGGTGAACTTAAGGACTTCAAAACATTTTGAGGGACATATCTTCCTACTGAATGTTTACCTAGCAGGAATATGGTAGATCAAACATGTAAAAAGCTAGTAAAAAATTTTGTGGTGTTCTCCTTACTTAACACCTTCCTACCTTCATCTCCTTTTCCTACCTTTGGATCTCCTTATTCAAGAAATCAACCTGGTGTGGCAGAACATCTGATCTCTTGTCCATCACTTACTGCATAGAAGCTATTCAAGTTACCAGTACATAAAACAGTATAACCCATTTCCAAAAATGGTAAGATAGGGAACATACGGTGAATGTGTTTTGTGACTATTTTCTTTTCTCTTGTAGTTGACTCCAGTGTGGACACTTTGGCAGTGTTTATGGCAAGCAACAGCACAACGGACGTTGTGAATCGCAATAATCCCGCCACTCCACCAAATACCCTTAACCTCCGTTCCTCCCACAATGAGCTGTTGAATGCAGAAATAAAACACACAGAAACCAAGAACAGCACTCCTCCAAAATGCAGGAAAAAATATGCATTAACTAACATTCAGACAGCCATGGGCCTTTCAGATCCAGCAGCACAGCCTCTTCTGGGGAACAACTCTGCCAACATAAAGCTGGTAAAGAATGGAGAGAACCAGCTTAGAAAAGCAGCAGAACAAGGGCAACAGGATCCCAACAAAAACCTCACAACCACTGCAGGCATAAACATAACTTCTGAGAAGTTAGAAGGTAAAGAGCCAGTCCCCCAGGATTCTTCTGGCTCTGAAATACTGCCCTCACAACCCAGGAGAACCAAGAGCTTCCTAAATTACTATGCAGATCTGGAAACATCAGCCAGGGAACTAGAACAGAATTTTGTGGTGATGGAAGAGAAATCTGCACAAAGCAACAGCCAGGCTTCTACCTTTATTGTCAATGGGGATGTCCTGCCTGGGCAGCAAACCAAGCTGTCAAGCCCAGAAGATGGCCAAGTAGCCACTGTATCAAGTCCTGAGACTAAGAAGGACCATCCTAAAACTGGAGCCAAAACAGATTGTGCGCTACATCGGATTCAAAACCTGGCTCCAAGTGATGAAGATTCCAGCTGGACAACGTTGTCACAGGACAGTGCTTCTCCAAGCTCCCCTGATGAAACAGGTACAAAAGTCCAAGACATATTTTCCTTTGTTTTAATAACTATCATTTATTCAAAATGTGTTTGGAGTCTCTTGGATTCCATTGCATTGACATCTGGGGATAAGCGATAGAATTTGGAACAAGATAAGTGACAGTACAGATAGCAGGGATGCCACTTCATACACCTTCCTTACAGAGTGGGTGCCCACTTTTGTGGTAAAATAAATCACAGCTGAATCTACAATGATCTATACATTAATCTAACCTTTAAAGTTGAGAGTTGACAGTCTCCTGGTTTTTTTTAAAAGGGCCAGCAGGGGGACACTGTTAGACTTCATGCCTGAGGTCCCAAGTATGGAGGATGTTAAATTTTACCTTTTTAAACTTTCTTCACCTGAAGCACTTTTTCCTGTTCTGTGTAATTCTTCTTTGTTGTTCTTAACCATTGCCCGCTGAGGAATGATTAATCTAAAAGAAATCAAAGATGCAGCTAACACTTCAGTGGTGATGCTAGCTGTTACTTCTGGCAAACAGATGATATACAAAATCTCCAGCTTAAGAAATGTCATTTTCAAGCATTCAGGATTTCACAGGCAGCAAAGTTTTATTTTTCTTTAATACATATCTCTGGGGAAAAGCAACTTGTTGGTATCCTTTAAAAAAAATCTGATGTTTATATGATGCATATTATTGTGTGTGCTGCTGTTCCATATGTTAATTTAGTGGCTGAAACCATAACATTTCACATTTAAAGTGTGGGTCCATTAATTATCTGAACAGTAGCGGTGACTACTGCAGTAGTGCTCTTCAATGTATAATTCATCTGTATTATTTTTTTAAGATGCAAAGATCTCATTTACTGTAGTTAATGGACTTTGACACATTTTTATTTTTGGACTTGCATAAAAGGATATCACTTTGGGGCAGAATCAAATCCCATACTTGCTTTGAAGCTGATCTAGAGCCAAAGAAATTGCATTGTTTTAAGTCATATAAGTATGTTTCATTACTGCACTACAGTAGTTTTGTATCAAAATTGTTCAATATAACATTATTAATAAAATCGCATAGCAGAAGTAGTGCAATTGCCATGATTTCATGAGAGGTGCATGTTTAAGCAAGAGTTTTTGGTTCTGTTAATGCAGATAAGTACAAAAAATACTTAATATCAGGCATTTTCTAGTTTTAGATGGATTTGATATTTCCCTAGCATTAATCCTTTGCTGTTAAAACTATTCAGTTAGGTAGATTTCCCTTCAGGTTTGAGTAAACAAAGTGGTGGTCAACTTAGTTAAGCCTGCAATTTCTGGTTTGATAGTCTTTCTATGTCTGTGACATTCTATGACCAAGCAAGAAATCAATTTGAAGTAAATGCTAGTGTCATCTATAGTCAATGTTAATGATTACATGATTAGAAACCCTGCTAGCTCTGCCTAACTGGCAGTATCTAGAGGTGGAACAATTGAGAATTGTGGGTACAAAAAAGCTCTTTGATTTCATTGCCTGGAGGGTCTTAGAGCAGTTTTGCATTTTTTCGCCTTACTGTAGAATCTAAATAAATGTTCATTTAACACATTTTTTTCCAGTTACAACAAAGCCCCCCCCCCAACTGTTAATTCCTTCAGACAATAGCAGCCGTAAAGTGCTAGTGAAGTATAAATTGTAATAATTTAAACACTAAGCTGATTAAATAAGAGTGGCTGAAGTTAAGACTAGCTTCTTAAACTGTTATCTTTAGGCTTCCTTTGAACCCACTTATTCTATCATTCTGTGAGCTATTTCACTGTTTATTGAGATTGGGTTTCCCTGACAGACCGCTCAGGTTGCTAGGAGATTGGAGGTGCAGGCAATTTTATTTATTAAGTTGGATTGTACTATGTGGAAATAAATAGGAAGCAATGCCTGCTACATGTGGAAGTGTCTCACAAATCCATGTGGCTCACTGCTTTTATACAACAGAAAAAAATTGCCTCTTAACTATTCCCAACCCCACCACCATGTTAGGGAACAAATAGAAACCAGGTAATTATGGCAGAGGCACTGTCAAGACCCTTCAGAGTTCAGCCTGCTGCAGGAAAATGCGTGCATGCATACACACACACATCTGAGTACAACTAAGTCTGTTGTGCATGTGGGCAGGCGGTTTCTTCTGCATTCCACCAAAGCCGTGGGTAGCAGGTCTTTAACTCATCTTCCTTCTCCAGGCCAGTCAGCTGTTTTCTGGGTTGTCCAGCCAGTTTATTTTCACGGGCACACATGTCCCATAGAAACGAAACAAATAATAAAATGACCAACTGTCCAAACAATAGCCAGACCGATAGATAAACCAGCATCTGAAGTCTTTCTTCAGACTGAGAGAGGGAAACTTGGGCTCTGTGCTTCTTCTGCAGCACCACAGCCTTCCCTCTCTCTGTCCGTTGCACTCTATCCCAGTGCTATTTAACTGTCTTTGTGACTCCACCCTCACTTATCTACCATAAGTTACAGCTGACCCCTAGCCTCCCAACAAGACGGCCTATGAACTGCTGCCTACTTGCAACTGGAGCTTCAGCCCCTGAAGGCCATGCCTTCTAACAAAGTGGGTGTGTCTACAGTGCTATTAAAGCAAAGCAATAAACTCTGGCACTTATTGTGCCAAAGTGCCGTGTTTACATAGCTGGAGCAGGGGGTCCACCTGGCAGCCCAGGGCTGCTCTAACCCTGCTCAGTGTGCTACAGAGGGGTTGGCTGGGGCATGAGGGTGTTCTAGTTTGGAGCTAGCCAGCAGGCAGCCCCCACATTGAAGCACCCTCATGCCCAAGCCAGCCATGCCAGCGTCTACACATGTGATGCTGCAAAGTAAAAAAAAAAAAAACCAAACCAAAACACCCCCCCCCCCCCCAAAAAAAAAACAAAAAACTCCATAGCAGGACTGTACTTGTATTTACAAGTACTACCTTGCTGCAGAGTTATTTAGATTTTCTGTGGCCTAATAGAGCCACACATGTAGACGTGAGACATTTCCCGCAGAGCTAATTAGTCCTACTGCAGCAAACATCTCATGTAGATGCGCCCAGCAATTCTCACCCAGGGTACTATTGCATCTTGGAATGCCTTGGGGCCCTTTCAAGGGTGCTGTGAGGTGCCACACAATATTAGCACTGTTAGGTATACAAGCATGATTCACAAGATAAACCCAGATATTTCAAATGTGAATCCACAATTTAAAAAAAACCCACTCTGACCTGTTTTGCTCTATTATCTTTCTGCAGTTAAAAATTGAATGAAAAGTAAGAGCTGAGACTTTTTGAGGGGTACCTTGAGTCTAAAGAGTTTGAGAACCACTGCACTAAAGCTTCTGTTGGTCACCCATGGAGACAGAGTAGCCAGTATGGCAGTTTCTGTGTTCTTAACATCAAAGTAACTTAACAAAAAAAAATTGTACTTTTAAATATTTTAACTATTCATGTCTCTTAAACTCCTGCAGCACCTGAATGTTATGCTAATTTACAATATTTAATTCACCTCCAGCTTGCCAAGAAGTTCATTGCTGAAATACTGTCTTCTCTCCTGTCAGCTGATGTGACAGAAGAGAATCAAGAACCCCAAAAGGATATTTTCCATCACAATAGCTCACTGATACCATAGTTGTTTTCCACAAGATAGCTTAGGTCCAATTTTTCAGTAGTACAAAGCATTTGCAGCTGAGATATAGGGGTAAACCCCTTTCCCCACACTTGCTGAACAAGAATGACAACAAGGATCCATAGAAATATCTGCAGGCATTCTCCGTATCAGGCAGGTTTTCTGAAAAGTCCCCAGTCACGATTCCATTCACAGCTGTCTTCAGTGATTTGAAAGTTCTTCTACAGCCAGGAGGCCACAGAGTGTTGTTCATGGTCAAATGCATTTGTCAAGTGCTGCCAGAGTTGTAAAATAAGGATTGTGAACCATCTGTACTAGTTGATAAGTCCAGTAATTAATCTGAACTTGCTTTCTTGTGAAAGATCAAGAACATTTATGGATAGTTTTGCATCATGATCATCTATGCTAATCTCCAGTTCCTTTGTATTAGCTGGTCAAGGCATTTTCAATCATATACTGTACATAATGATAATTTTCATGACCTGGCTAATCATTTGGCACCTGTCATAGATATTGCAGTGATGGCTGCAATATAAACTTGAAGGGAGATTAAATAACATTTTCTAAACATTTTAATGGTGTCAGTGATTGCTGGAATTTTGCTTTAAGCCCAGCGAGCCTTCCTTTTATTTAAGTTAGGTTTTGACTTGAATTGAATCCAATTCAGGTAGAAGCAATTGGTGGAGAAGGGTATATAAGCCATACTTTTGTGAAGAGGTAGATGCATTGGAGAACATCTAATTTCTAAAGCCTAAAAATGATTCCTGGGGCAAGTTGATGAATTGGCCAGGATGTTGGTGCAAACTTTTCCACGGTATGTAGAAATTATTTGATAATACACATTCTTTTTTTTTTAAGAATTTGAATTTGTAAGGCGTATACCAGGAAGTATTTGCCATATTTCCCACATTGTGTGTGGGAAGTCTGGCTTACTTAGCTTATTGTACCTTTGGTTACCAGACTGTGAGGCACAGATTCCAAAAGTGTTGCAAGGATTTCCCAAAAACTTGTAGCTCCAGGCATCCAGTGTCTTACTGCTGAGTCATTGAAGGCTGTGCCTTACAGTGACTTGTATTCCTGCTTTGTGAAATCTCAGGTCCTTCAACTAAGTGCCAGAGGGCAGGTGTAAGCTTGTTTCATCTTCCTGACTCTCAAACTCCCACCTCGATTACGAGCTTAAGTATGCACCTCTCCACTGAGTCCTTCCCAGGGAATTTCCCTCACCCTGGTGATGAGCTGGTGTGGGAGGTAGTAAAGCCATCCTAAGCACCGATGCCAGTGGAGATTCTCCCTGGACTGGGGGAAAAATTGAGGCCATGTAGTACAGTGGACTGGAAAATCTGATACTAAAAGGGATTGAGACTCTTCCCTTTTTAAGGTTGCTCTTCAGACAAGATG